TCAGCCACCAACAATTCTAGTCGACGCACACCAACAATTCTAGTCGACGCACCACTGTTGTTGCAACACCCACTATCGAAAGTAGCCCACCCCCAGCACTAGGGAGCACTAAGGCGGACAAAGGATACATGGAGAAGAGACTTAACCTTGGAGCCTCCAACCACTAACCTGTGCCCAAGCGGAGAAACCCCGCCCAACCCTACCATCTTTACGTTAGCATTGCCACACATAGAGGAAACTGAAAGCAAGATCAGCAAAAGCTTAACTGGTTTAGAGGCTCACGTAAAGATGACAGGTCGAGAGCACAAGCCTGACGCTGATAGTCACGCGGCAGCACGGTGCGCCCCGCTTTAGAGGAGGCCTGAGCGCGAACTAAGGAAGAAGAAGGGGGTTTTGGGGATTAGGATTGAGAGTAAAGGGGGAACTGACTCTGACTCTTGTCATGTATTGTTGATTTTTTTGTATAATATTATAAATTTGAACTTGATTTGAATATTTGTTTTATTTATTTATTTTATTTACACCTTGTTCTTCTTCAATTCACTCTCATTCAGTTTCTTACTAAATCCCATTGAAAAATTCAGAACTTGCTGCATATTTTGGTTTTCTGTGGTCTTTGGTTGATCAAATTTTTCAGTTTGGCTGGCTACTGTCCTAAGTGGTGAGCGTCGGCTCATATCCATCTACAATCTCAAAGAGACGGCCTAAGAAGATGCCTCCACCTCTAAAACTCAAAACTTAAGGCAAGGCTCAAACCATTGTTTTAAAAGTCGCTAGGCGCTCGACTAGCGCCTAGGTGGCGCCTAGTCGTGGATTAAAAATTAATTTTAAATATCTTATTTTTTATTTATTTTAACTACCTACAAAATAAAATTATCTCAACTTATAATAAATCGTCACATTTAAGTCAAAATAATAAAATTAACATATTTTAAAGAAAACATGAGAATAAAATGATGTAACTAATATTTAAATTAAAAAAAATGAAAAATTATCGCCGAGCCCGCCTTGGAGCGCCTAGGTCCCCCTATGCCCGCATAGACGCCGCCTAACCACCTGGCCGTCGAGCCCGCCAAGGCCGC